TCTATAAATATTGTTCTTGGGTCTGTGCCACCACATTCTAGAAATTGTACAACCACTGAGCTATATCTGTGAATGGATACTGGAGCTGAGTCAATCCACAGACCCACAGTGAGCCCAGCCAGGGCTTGCCAAACCCAGGCTAGATCTGCTGACCTTAGTTGGCCCACAAACACATGAACTTTAGTGATAGATGATTGTTACGTAAGCCACTGAGTATTAGGATGCTTTATTACTCAGCAATAGTTAACACAATATACCAAAGGTATAGGACCTGAGACTTAAAAGTTTAAGTCCATGTTCAAGGGAAATCTTTCTAAAACGTATCTGACACTTATCTGCCTTCTTAAGCAAAATTAAGTGTACACACTTCAGTCTTCACTGGGCCACTCATGCTTATAATAGTGAAAACAGTTAATGAGCTATAAGTCAGTGGTTACCTACAAGAACAGGGGTTCTAGAAATAATTCCAAAATAATTCTGGTCTGCTATTCTTTTTGATCTCAGAACTATTCCCTGCTTATTGGTCATTTTTCTTGTAATCACTTTTGTCAGCTATCTTTTTTTGTTGTTGTCATGGTGTCCAGTGTAAGCATGAACTCGCCCTCCCCAACCTAATGGGCCACACCTAATTAAAAACTCTTCCAGAAACCTACTATCTAAGCCTGCCAGAATGGTATCCAAAGTAACAATGAATAGACTTGGAGGAAGAGCCAGAACTAATTTTCTGTGTATCAAATGCATGTGCTTTAGCGTTCTATCATCAATTCTGGCCTCTTGGAGGCTTTTTGCTCCCTTCTGTGGTTCTCCTCTGGGACCTGGCAGTGGAGTTTGCCAAGCAATGAGCCTCTCTCTGGTCTAGATAGTTGGTGCTGTGTCTGGAGTTGTGGGGATACAGTCCTTCCTGGAGACAGTGAAGGACTGGCTCAGCTCTGGAGGAAAAGTAGTGCCCTCCAGGCCTGTAAGAGCTCTTTCTCCATCACACCCTCACTGGGTCATTTATCACATGCTGTCTGTGTTTCAACAGCAGATGTTCACAAATTCCCCCAGAGAAGAGGCAGTGTCTGACTTGTCTCTGTGTCCTCTGTACTACTTAGCCTACTGCCAGGCACACAGTGGGCGCTCACTAAGGTATGGTGGGTGGCCCTTGTTCTTATGAGCATAGGGTTGGTCTTCTTCAGAAAAGTAAGAATCTATAAGATTCTGAATACAGAATATTTTACACCAAATGATTGGAAATATTTTCAAAGGATTAACGTTGTCCTCTGTCAAAGAGCTGTTTCCATTTTCAGGGCATAAGTTTACTTCTGAACTGTGTTTGAAGAAGCCGTGGCTACTAAATATGGGAACAAGGCCAAGAGAGTTTACAGGTGAAAGCAGATATTTTTTGCTCTATTAAATGGTTACCTTAGTGATTCTCCCTAGGTCTACTCCCATTGCTTGGTTGGTTGATTGTTTTTTAAGTAGGCTTCACACCCAGCATGGAGCCCAGCACTGGGCTTGAACTTACAACCCTGAGTTCAAGAGCTACCCAGGTCGCCCCCTCCATTCTTTTACCAAACGTCTAAGGACCATATTCTAAAACCAGAAGATCTGGATTTAGAAATTCATCAGGCAAGGGTGCCTGGGTGGCTCAGTTAGTTGAGCATCTGACTTAAGCTCAGGTCACGATCTCACGGTTTGTGTGTTAGAGCCCCATGTTAGGCTCCTTGCTCACAGCTCAGAACCTGGAGTCTGCTTCAGATTCTGTGTCTCCCTCTCTCTGCTCCTCCCCCACTCATTCTTTCTCTCTCCCTCTCTCTCTCTCTTAAAAATATATAAACATGAAAAAAATTTAGAAATTCATCAGGAAGTGCCAGTGGATGTGTGGGCTAGCTATTCTACATTCCCACCCCTCCCTCTCACTCTGTACCCCAGAAGCTAGTTGGCATAGACTGTATCCAGAGGCTCCCCTGCCCCCTAGCTTGGGGCTGGGTTTGGCCAATGGAAGGCACTGCCAAGAGGCACTGCCAAGGGTGGCTCAAGCAGTTAAGCGTCTCACTTCAACTCAGGTCATGATCTCACAGTTCAAGGGTTTGAGTCTCGCATGGCTCTCTGTGTTGACAGCACAGAGCCTGAAGCCTGCTTCAGATTCTCTGTCTCCCTCTCTCTCTGTCCCTCCCCCCACTCACACTCTGTCTCTCTTTCCTTTAAAAATAAATAAACATTAAAAATTTTTTAAAAAAAGAAATAGCTAGACTGGAGGAGAGGGCAGTTGGGGTATTTCTTTTCTACTTTCTACCTGCTTTGGGTCTCTCTGTGGTCATAGCTCCTGCTCAATGGCTCCTCCTCCAAGGTTCCAAATCATCTTGAAATCAATTTCCCCATTTTTTCCTCTTGCTTTTTCCTTCTCTTTCTTTCTTTCTTTCTTTCTTTCTTTCTTTCTTTCTTTCTTTCTTTCTTTCTTTTTCTTTCTCTCTCTCTCTCTCTCTCTCTTTTTCAATATTTATTGATTTTGGGGAGAGTGCAAGAGGGGAAGTCAGAAGTGGGCAGAGAAAGGGGGACAGAGGTTCTGAAGCAGGCTCTGCACTGACAGGCTGACAACAGAGAGCCCAATGTGAGGCTTGAACTCACAAACCATGAAATCATGACCTGAGCTAAAGTTGGATGCTCGACTGACTGAGCCACCCAAGTGCCCCTCTTCATCTTGCCTTTTCAAGCAGAAGCGTGGTAAAGAGTCCCCGAATTACTAATTCCTCTACTTTCCTTGTTGGTCCCCTTAACCCCACCCACACCTCTGAAAGTGGTCCCTTCTTTCAAATCTTCATCTGAACCATCTGAAGTCCTTCTTTCTCCTGCTGTGACCCTGACTGCAACAATCCATACAACGTCCTAAGAGATGTCTCCGCTGCACCAGTAGTCTCTCTAGGTCAAGGAGTTAAAAAAAAAAAAAAAAAATCACAGGTTCTTTTGTCTCTAGCTTTCAGAACCTCGTAGCCATTTGGCTCTATCTAAATTAAGTGATATAGTCGTATAGGAGGATTAGGAGGAACTTGACGGAGGAACAAGGGGGAGAAGAAAGGGAGAAATGGTGGGGGAAAGGGAGAGAGGTAAACCATGAGAGACTCTTGAATGCTGACAAAAACTGAGGACTGATGGATGTGGGGGGGAGGAGGGATGGGCATGGAGGAGGGCACTTGTAGGGATGAGCACTGAGTGTTATGTGGAAACTAATTTGACAATAAACTATTTGTAAAAAAAAATAAAATAAAATAAAATAAATTAAGTGATATAGTATGAAGGCAAGCAAGCCTCAATCTATAGATGAGAAAAGCTATTATTCCTCCATTCATTCACTTGTTCATCAAATATTTCTTGTGCACCTGCCATGTGCCAGGCACTGCTCTGACCCTGGAGAAACAGTGATAATATACAAGACAGTCCCTGCCCACATGATGCTTACAGTCTAATGCCGACGGTCTCCAGAAGTCAGAGCCCACCAGAGGCAGGGATAGAACCAGAAGATGGAGTTTCCTGAAGTCCAGAGCCATCAGCAGATTCTCAAAGGGCTCTGCTGCCCAAATAAGGTTAAGAACCCACTGAATTAGATCGAATTAACTATCCAGCTTCCCTGCTTAAATAGAAGAACGATGAGCCACCAGCCCCCAGAAGAAGTGTGGTGCTCTCAACTGGAATTTGTGGGGGCATACTGTCACACAGGCGCGGTGACACAACCAACCACCTTTCCTACCCTCCCCACCCCTCACCGCCTGATATTCTCCACAAGTCCCCCAGCCCCCTCCTTCAGCTCCTCACATTTTCATAATCACCCTGTGCCCTTCTCTGAGCCCTTCCCTCAGGGCCCGCAAGTGCTGGCAGCCCTGGCAGCACAACACGTTGCTGAACTGATTTTATGAATAGAGACAGGCTGGGGACTGGATTCCCAGACATGTCCTTTCTGAGTGCCTGTGTTGTCAGCAAAGGCAGTGAGAATGAAATGTCTGCCTGCGTGAAAGTTATTTATGAGATTCAAGTTAGAGGGCGTGACTGACACCACCTTCGCTGGGGGAGAGGGGGGACGCCCGGGGCGGCTGAGGTGAATTGAGGGGGGCTGTAATGGGACAGGCAGCAAAACCGGGGATCTGCCTGCCTCCCCCAAGCCCTCCGGAAACATTTGAGTTTCCTCAGAAAGGTTTAAATAGGCCATGCCAGTAACACAATACTTCCCCTGCTCTGGGTCAGACAGGACAAGGGCAAGCTGGTGCCTGGCACCCTCAGAGAAGTTTGGCAGGCCAGCTTAAAAAGCCCCCTTCCCCAAATCAGCCAGCCCTACCTCTGACAGACACAGTCCACTCCAGGCCAGGCCAGGGTCACTCTGGAACCCTCCACATCTCCTCAGAAATCTCCCATCTCCCAGAACCTCCAGCTGCCCTGTTTGGGCAGAAGTCTCACCGTGGGAAGAAGGCTCAACAGGAAAGCAGACAGGGCTGGAGAAAGGGGAGACCCAATCCTGAGGCTGCAAGGGCCCCTGCCCATGGGGGAATCACTGGACTCCCCTCTCCCCTGGGGAGACAGCCCTGGCTGCCGGAGCTTAGCGGAGGTGTATTTGCTCCACAACACCCGCCTTGAGTCAAGCTCCCTTCAGAAGGGGCTGGGGACGTGTCCATAGAAATGTCTGGGACTCACTTCTCCCTCACGTGGTCTCCTCCGTGTCTCTTTCTAGCTCCCCACAATTCCCACAGTGAAATCATGCAGCAAATGGGGGAGACGTGGGAGAGGCAGAAACCATTTTTAAAAGGGTCTCTGACTTTAAGCAGCTGAGTGGGGGCCATTTGGAACAAGGACAGAGGGAACTTCTGAGACAGCTCGGGTGACAGGAAGCTGCTGGGATGGCTGTTTCCCTCCAGCCTCCCTCCACCGGGAGCAGAATGGGGAAAATATCAGGACACGCTGCAAAACGATCTTCCATCCCCCTCACCCTGCCCCCAACGGGTGGAAGAGAGGAAAGTGTGGTCATCATTTACCTGCTGAAATTGGGAGGACGCTGTTGATGAAAGTAGGCTGAGACCCGATAAAGCGGAAGAAAAGCTGCAGATAAATTCCCAAAGTCATTGGATTCAGGACAACCATGCTGGCTGGGGTCTGGCAAGTGTCAAGTTCTCTAGGCAAGGCTGCTCGGGAAGCCTTGCTTATCTCTGCCTTTGTCTTCCTCACTGCTGTTTGCGCCTCTCTCCCCCCCCTCCCCCTCTCCCTCTCCCTCTCTCTCCTGTCTCCCTCTCCTTTCCCCATGCCTTTACCAAGAAAGAATGCCAACCATTTCCCATTAAACCTTCTCCGTACTACACAGGGTTATATTTATCTCAAGCACTGGATCAAATGCCCACATTAAAATACTATGTCAGAACTTCTGTTTTGGAGACTGAGGTGAGTGGCTACTGAAGAGGCGACGAAAAGGCAGTTGAGTCTCACACCTTCACTAGACGCAGTCCTCAAAGGCAGACAGATCCCTAAGGATCCCCCAGCAGCTACCTGCTCAGAACGGAGGTGTCTCCCAGCACCACAGAATCACTGAATTTCCGCAGACACAGATCTCTCTCCTGTCAGCCTGTGACATTTTTACCCGCGACAAATGTAAAGTTGACCTTGGATTATTTTTCTTTAATCATCCAATAGAATGGGGGAGGTAGATTTTCCCAAACAGCTTTCTCCAGGAGAAAGTGTTTATTCTCCCTCCAGAAGCAGCAACCTTTTATCTCATCCATAGCAAAATATGGGAAAAAACAGAAAGTGAACTGTTATCAAATTACACTTGGAGAAATAGCATCAATGACTTGATCTTTGGCTGGACAAACTTCAAGTAAAAAGCACTGCATCCTTAAAGGAGTACCTCTTATGGGTTTATGAAGCCTGTTACAGAGATCCTTAGATTATTAAAATAATAATCTACAGAGTTGTCCAGTTTGCTTTAATGGATGTGATGTACTCCTGATGCTTTGTGGGAGTTTGTTTGGGGGTGGTTTGGAGGCTCCTGGCCTCTGGGGTGGGCATCCTTGGGGAAGAGCACCTTTCCCCATCTCTGGGGGAGACAAAGTGTAGGGAGACGCTCCGGCTCTTGCCCCAGACTCCCAGCTCTGCTGTGACAGCAGACAGATGTTTGAGGTCTCTGAGCCTCAGTATTCTCATCATAAAATGGAGGCAGCGATCCCTTTAAAGGTGTGCTGGAAAGGTTCAGTGAGGTAACATGGGACACATCACGGGTGAGTTAAACTCTGTGTATGGAGACAGCAAAAACGAAACCCAGGGAGCAGTGGCGGATGGGGTGCGATGATGACCACTGAACATCCGTCTCGTCCCTGTGTGTGTGAGCCACTCTCCCCAGCAAGAGCTGGAGTCTATTTCCTCTCCCATTCAATCAGGCTGGCATTGTCATTGGCTTTGACTGGTACAGTATGGCAGAAGCAACACAGGGCCATTTCCAGACTGAGGCCTTAACAGGTTTGGCAGCTCTGATTTTACCATTTCTTAGAAGCTGCCACATAAAGCTGCCACATGAGAGAGCCTGGACCATCAGACAGCAGCAGGGAGGGGGAAGCAGCCAGCTCATGAGGCCGTAGCCATGCGAGGGAAGCCAGACCACATGGTCTCCAGATGACGATGGCAGTCACAGCTGAAGAAGGGCCCAAATGAACCCACCCCAGAATACAGATTCATGAGCATATAAAATGGCTACTGTTTTAGGCCACTTGTTTTAGGATGATTTATTATGTAGTAATAGGTAACTGATACGGGGCTTATAAGAAAATCTTTTGAAAGCTTGAAGAATATACTTGGGTTATATTCAAAATTAAAAGGACAGGGGTGCCTGGGTGGCTCAGTCCGTTAAGTGTCCAATTCTGGCTCAGGTCATGATCTTAAAGTTTGTGAGTTCAAGCCCCACACTGGGCTCTGTGCTGGTGGCGTAGAGACTGCTTGGGGTTCTCTCTCTCCATCCCTTTCTCTCTCTCTGTCCCTCCCCCACTTGTGCTCGCTCTCTCTCCCTCTCTCAAAATAAATAGACTTTAAAATTTTTCATAGGATGGTTTAAAATGGGGTTTAAATAGTTCAGCTATTCCCAAACTATTTAACAGAAGAATCTGTGATTGTTGGCTAAACTGCAGTAGGAAATTCTCAGGCTTGTTCTTGTTAACTTTTGAAACCTACAGTCCCAGCAGTGGGCTGTTGGTGGCTTGGAGAAAGTGCTACCTGGGAGGAAGATAACTCTTGAGTAACCTGGTGCCAGAATCTGGCTCAGGTCCCTTCTGTGAAGCAACAGTGATTTCTTCCTTCTCTCAGCACACAGATCTCACCACTGACTCTGCAGTTGGCAACAGAGAGTGTCAATATGTCCTGCCTACAACACCTGCTACTATTATTTTTGAGTTGCTTCTAAACCACTCTGCGTTGCTATTTAACTTGTGTTAATGTCTCTGAGATAGAGGACTGTCCCATAGCTCTGTGTAACCCAGGACAGTCCTTGCCACCTAATCCTCAACAATGCCAGTTAATTTGATCAAATCACACAACAATAGGATGTAAAGAAAAGAAAGTAGGAAAAATGGCATAATTTTATGCTCCAGCCACACTGATTGTGCCTTTGCACATACAGCAGCTGACTGGCCCAGGCCTGGTATAAGAAAGGGCTTTGGTAAGTATGGGGAGAAAGGTGATTGGGAATGTGGACAGACAGCCACACAGAATTAGGGCCTGCGTTGGAGAGGCTGCATATACACATTCAGGCCACTGGGGGGCGAGTCACCTCTACCCTTTGGGGAGGCACGGCACACAGGTATTTATAAGCCCCATTAGTTATGAAACCGCTCTTTGTGAATTTCCATTTCCCATGTACTATGTATTTTAGGAGTCTATTTCTTACAGGGTTGCCCTAACTGACTGAGAAGTTATCTTTCTCCAAACTCTCCTGGAAAGGCTCTCGATCTTTCAAAATCTAGTAACACAGGCTATTAAATTACCTAGAAGGAAATTATTTGAGATTTGTGAAAGGCTTACACCAATAAAGCCAGTCAAGGCTAGAGCTTTCTCTCCCAGGCCTTGTAAGTGGGAATGTATGGTATACAGACACGGGATCTGATGGTATTCATCAACACATAACATACACATGTCGTTTGATCCAGAAATTCCACAGAAATACTCATTCAGCTGCCCAGTGGTTGAGGTACAAGGATGTTCGTTACAGCCTCAGATCTGAAACAGCCTAACTTTTCATGAATATGAGATTGATTGAATCAATCATAGGACCTCTCTTCAGTGAAACATTATATAGTCATACAAAGAATAAAGTAGTCTTTGCAACAAATATTGCTGGAAAAATCAGCCTTCCATTTGCAAAACAAACAAAAATTATTTTTAACTCTTACTTTACCCCATACATAAAAATGAGCTCAAAATGGATCACAGACCTAAATGTAAGACAGAAAATCATTAAACTTCTAGAGGGAAGCAAAAGAAAACCTTGGACTAGAAAAAGATTTCTCTTTTCAAATTAAAATTTTTTCTTGGGGCGCCTGGGTGGCTTAGTCGGTTAAGCGTCCGACTTTCGCTTAGGTCATGATCTCGCGGTTACGTGTTCAAGCCCCGCGTCGGGCTCTGTGCTGACTGCCAGCTCAGAGCCTAGAGCCTGTTTCAGTCTGTGACTCCCTCTCTCTCTGACCCTCCCCTGCTCATGCTGTCTCTCTCTCTCTCTCCTAAGAAATAAATTTTTAAATTTTTTAAAATTTTTTCTTAAATAAAAATGCATATATTTAAGATATACAGCATGTTTTGATACACATATATTTTGTGAAATTACTGCAGTCAAACTAATGTACATATCTGTCAACTCATATAGTTACCTTTTTTCTAGTTGAACACACTTAAAAACTACTCTCTTAGAAAATTTCCACAACAGAATATTATATATTTCACAACAGTATATTACCAAAACAGTATTAATAACTATAGTCACAATGCTGTTATTATTCATCCTCTATAACTAAAACTTTGTACCCTCTGACCAATATCTCTCCATTTCCCCCATTTCCTCAACCCGTGGTAATCACCATTCGACTCTCTGCTTCTATGAAAAAGTTTTTTAAGTAGGACACAAAAAAAAACCCCAATCATTTAAGAAAAATGTTAAATTGGACTTCATCAAAAATTTAAACTTCTGCTTTTTGAAAAACAATGTTAAATTGAACAGACAAACCAAAATGGGCACCTGGGTGGCTCAGTCGGTTAAGCGTCTGACTTTGGCTCAGGTCATAATCTCATGGTCAGTGAGTTCGAGCCCTGCATTGAGCTCTCTGCTGTCAGCAGAAGACCTGCCTCAGATCCTCTCCCCCCCTCCCCCTTCCCGCTCTAGACATACTGTTTCTCCCTCTCTCGAAAATAAACAAACATTTAAAAAAAGAAAAGACAAGCCAAAGACCAGAAGAAAATATCTGCAAAATACATATATGATAAAAAATGTATATTCAGAATATATAAAGAACTTTACAACTCAATAATAATAAAGAAAGCCCACTAAAAGAAAAGGACAAAAGATGTAAATAGATACTTCACCCAAGGAGATATATGAATGGCAAATGAGCACAAGAAAAGATGTTCAACATCATTAGTCCTTAGGAAACTGTAAGTTAAAACCTTAAGGAAACAGCACTACATACTACTAGAATGGCTAAGGGTAAAAAGACGGACATTTCCAAGTGTTAGTGAGGATGTGGACCTACTAGAACTCTCACACATTGCTACTGGGAATGCAGAATGGTGCAACCACTTGGGAAAACAGTTTGGCAGTTTCTTTTAAAGTTAAATATACACTAACTATACCACACAACAGTTCTACTCTTAGAAATGAAAAGTATATCCACCCAAAGACTTGTACATGAATGCTCATAAGTATTTTCTTTGTAATAATGAAAAACTAGAAACAACCCAAATGGCCATCAACCGGTGTAACAAACTGCGTACAACGCAATACTATACGGCAGAAACAAGTCAAAGGGATGAATCTCAAATGCATTATGTGAAAGCCAACACCACAAAAGGCTACATACTGCATTAACTCCATCTATGAGGCATTCTGGAAAAGGCAACACAACAGGACCAACAGATCAGTAGTGACCAAGAGTTAACG